AGAATTGGGCGGAGTTGGTACTAAAGTGGGCGGGGCTTAGATCAACAACCTATGATTCTATTTAGAAACGTCGTGGGATGCGGGAAAAAAGTGGTAAGATGTAGTAGAACAAATGTAGTCAGACTCCACAAGGGGACGGGATTGGCGCTGAAATGAGCCTACATTAAAATTATTAAGTCTCTTCAGATGCGTTGAGAACGCAGAAGAAGCTGCCTGGAGGTAGTAGAAGTAACGTGGTTTGAAGTCTAAAACAAGGGTGGAGTTTGCAAAGAGGGAGGGGGGTAGGGCTGAACTCAAGAATTTATACATTTGTTCTTCACACTAACCCTGACCACATAAGTGTACAACGAGGGAATACCACTAAACTCTTCCAGAAGTTAGGCTAAAATTTTTCTAAAACCTAGCATCCATGGCTCCACGCACACAGTAGTCCCTTCTGCACAAGAGCAAATGCACTTCATTGACTTTAGACTTCACAAATTAAAATTTACATAACCTCGGCCACACAGGTACGTTCACTGTAGAGACGTGTAAATCCCTACAGCTACCCATAGGAGCTCTCCTTTCAAAGTTAGTGTTCATGGCCACGCACAGCTCAAACTACACAAGTTTCTTCGACTACATGGAATGCAGAGAAATTTGATTTGGATACATCGGGGACTTTTTATGGCCACACGCAGCCCCATACAACACCCCAAAAAGTGATGGCCGCTACAGAAGTGCCAGGGAAGAGCTCAGATCATAACAAAGGTCTATAATGAAAATCAGAAGCTCATGCGGCTCCGTCTCTCATGGCTAGAGCCCCTAGCGTGCGATAGCGTGCGTAGCTGCCTGTGTGTATAGTATTAGGATGAAGAAATACGGTGTAAAGCAAGCTTCTATGAACAGCCGGTAGGACTTGTTTCAGAAGAGGTGTTTGGTCGGGTAGCGTTCTGAACAATAATGTCAGAGTTTCTCAAGGCTAGGCCACTACATTATGTCTCAACATGTCTTCGACTCAAATAGTGTCCAATACAAAGATTTAAGAGATGTAGAGAAGAGATCGTAATAACAATCTCGAACCCGCCGAATGTCACCACACTTCCCTAAAGGTACAGTTCACGAGAAAAATGGTTTCTAAGGTTTCCTCATAGGATGAATTTGAGGTTCTTTTGTATACCATATCTGGTGCTATTAGGTCAGAAAACGGCATAGTTAGGGAGTTAAGGCTCAAAGATTGACCCGTGTGAATCGGACGAGTTTCACCGGCACTGTAGAGGCGGCATCGATCACAAGTGAACTCATATCGGAAATTCAAACAACTTGTCATGACTCACAGCGACAGTGAAAGGTTGTTCGGTACAGTTCTGGCTTTATGTAGTCAGCTCTTTGCGCAATTGCAAAAACTAGCATCTCGTCCGAATACCCCTTCCATTTTATTTCCGTCATGGTAATCTCGTCCAAACCCTATTTTCCCTACTTTTAACAAGCCATATTTTTCTCGAAATCGACGGATTCTCTCGCTTTCTTCACTACCGATGAATTATTCCCATCCTAAATTTCCACTTTTCGACTAAAAACCGGTACCTCAAAAATATCTCTAACTGTGCCTTTGAGTGAAAAGCGATTCAAGTTCCACCACACTGTCTCAAGTGAGAAGCGATTTTGGTTAACTATTTCATAATTCTTGTAGACAGCACTTAGAAAATAATACAAACTAGATGGGATGACATGCTTACAATCAACAATCTGACAATTGGAACCGTGTCCATCAGATATTTTGCTGTAACCTGATGATCAAAATGAACAAAAACAACAAAAGAGAAGATATATGTATATATAGTCGACACATTCAAGCATACTCTTATGAATCCAATTTCTTCTGAATGACTTACATGGCAGAACATATAAACACGTGATTCATAGCACCAACGATTTGAATAATAAGTGGGCCTCACGACGATGAATCGAGAGAACAATTAGAGATTCATAACATGGAACTATAACACAGATATTTGCCCTCAGAAACAGTGATAAGCATAAAACAACCACGTGCTCATGTCACTCAAACATAATACTTCGTCCTGAAGCGATCGATGAAATATGATAATCATTTTCTAGAAAATTTCTCATTACCTATCACGGATGATGAATGGGCAGTGCTAATACAAAGATCCAAGAACGTATTGCATAAATGTTCAAAACTGAAAAGTGGAACAAAAGAATAATGAGGTACAAACTTTTTATTCCGCTCTGAACATGATGTACACACCTTAGGAGAAAGGTTGTCTCATTCTAGATGAAGTGATGAAGATATCAAGAAAATGACCGGAAAGTTCGGCACTCTTTTTAGTTGGTACTTTACCGAAAAATATCTGTACACTTCATTGCTGCTCCCGGTTCTTGATCAAATAGAAGCTGTCTGCATGGTTATACATGTGATCTGCCTTACTGATCACAAGTCACGCATGTTCACAAGCCTATCTGAAAATCTTCAATCGATGAGACGGTATTACCTCTTCAAGCTAGGCTATAGATTCAGCCATATGGCGTACGTTAAAAATCATGGAGATTGGGTGGAGATTAATGGAAGTTTATTGCTAGACCTATACGGTATGCACGAGATGCTGGACTTTGGAGGAACAGTTCAAATTGGGCGCAAATATGGCTGCCCACGTAAGTCGAGGCACTTGAAAAATATTTAAAAAATGTCAATCAGCGAGTAGCTACAACGTACTGGGGTGGTATCCTTCTATACATCATATCCACCAGACATCAGCTATATGACTTCACACCGGGAAAGATCATCGGGAAATTCGAAGAGGGTTGCACCATGACGAGTGTATCCCAAGAGCTCGGTATCGCTCACAGCGTTATTTCACGTGCAGAGCGCTTCGAACCCCTAATACAGTTGCTCAAAGGCGAGGAGGTTGACAATCAAGATCAACTACAACAAGGGAAGGTCGCTACACTGCGCAGCAGTCAAAACGAGACCCTTGTCAGTCAGCATTTGCGCAATGACTGCGTTTGCATTTCAAAGACTTTCAACAAGACTTTAAGGCAAGCCCTCTGGCGCATTACAGTGACCCGACGACTACACGGTGGTGGTCTGTTCGACGCTCGACGACCACTACCTTGCGTTCATTGAGCCTCGCGCATCGGCGAGATCGTTTAGGGTGATGTCCGGAGCCTAGCGAACGAACGGATGCAGGATGAAGCAATCTTCTCGGATGAGAGTAGATTCAGTCTAAGCAGTGATTCTGATCGCATCCTCATAAGGCAGAGGTAAAAACACACATTTCCTCTAATAACATTGTCAAACCTGATCGTTCAGGTGGTCGAGGTATGATGGTATGGGGAGGCATCATGTTGCATAGCCCTACTGACCTCCAGATTTTTGAGCATGAAACTCTTACCAAGCAGCGTTACTGTGACGAGGCACTTCTTCCTTATTTTTATAGATGACAATGTGCGACCGCATCGAACAGCACTCTCGGCAGCTAGTAGCTCTCGGCACGAGAAGATATCTGGTGAATGAGGTGGCCTACCCCTTCCTCTGTCCTAAATCCCATCGAACACGTGTGGAATACACTGAGTAGAGGCACTGCAGCAAGGCAACCACATGAAGTCATTACAAAACTTAAAGGAAGTACGGGATCGCGTTACGGAGTATGTATTGCTGTCCGTAGTGATTGCGCACCTTGTTTAGAACCGCGTCGCTTTTTTGGAAATACCACGATAAATTGCGAAAATTTATGTGTAGTCGGCACCCTTGACCAACGATGTCGTATCTGTTCATCTTATCTCGAATTTCTGTCAGTTGCTTCCCGTGCAGTGCCGTAATGTTCTCTCTTAATATGATATGAATTTCATTGAGCTATGCTATCTGGCAAAGGTACAGCAATCGAAAGTTGATCTCGTGCCCAAGTTTTGCACACCTCTTGTGTCTACGTTTTGTACACCATTGTACTTCCTACCACTTCTTGTAGCCAAAAGTCGGAAAAATCTGAAAGGGCAAGAGAAGCTACGGATAGTTGTAACTTGTATGGTTACTCGCATCGTAGACCTTGAAGCAGTAATAGACCTTATTACCGTATCATTCTTCAACATGCTACAACGNACCATTGTACTTCCTACCACTTTTTGTAGCCAAAAGTCAGAAAAATCTGAAAGGGTAAGGCAAAAGCTACGGATAATTGTAACTTGTATGGTTACTCGCATCGTAGACCTTGAAGCAGTAATAGACCTTATTACCGTATCATTCTTCAACATGCTACAACGATTCTTTGCAGGTGCGGGGGCACCGTAGTCAATGTTAGCAACAATGCCCCTGCATTTTTTGGGCAGAACATAGACGCGCACAACAGACCCAGAATGATCCTAGAGTGCTTGCTGGTTAGGCAATACGAAATTGAATGGAAATGCATGACACTTTTCCTCATGAGAAGGAGGTTTTCATCGAAGACTATGTAACGTTCCCTCTGTAAAATAATAGGGGTATGCTATGCTTATTTATAGGAACACTGATCACATTACTTTTTGAAATTGAGGTCTGCTCAAAACACACTCGCCTACATACCTGGCAACCGACCTTAACAATATACCAGTTCCATGAGCTTTGGATTTCACGCAAAACAGAATTATCTTGCCATACCCATTGACGTCATCTATGCAAGAAAAAATGGATCCAGGTTGAAGAACGGGCGAGAAAACACCAACTTTGCATAACAGGAAACAAGCGATCCCGCTTTCGAAACATCATGCAAATTGACCCCGAAAATTCGGCATGTATGGCAGACTGAATAACTTCCAAAAATCAAAAGAATCAGAGGCTCTATCAGTATAACCATTAGAATCCTATCAGAAAAAGAGATAATTTTTACAAGAAACTAACTTAATTGTCTAATAAAAGTGAATCTGGCTTCATCGCGACAACATATCGAAGAGCAAAACATGAAAACAAGTGAAGCGGAATGCAGAAATGCGAAATCAGAATACCTTTTTCGGAACATAACTCGTCCTTACAGCTCGTCGTCATCAGATTCCTTTCGTGTACAGTAACAAGCTAGACCAACAAGGATTGCGAAGAAAAACAGTGAACAGAACGACAGCATCGCAGTGGCAAACTGAAAATGAGGTGCATTGGTAGCTGAAAGACCCTGACACTGTTGCTCAAATGAGTTCACCCAATGAGCTGATTCTCATCTAAGAAGTGAATTTTCTTTCATGAAACAGTATACTTGAAAAAGTGAATGAGATATGCATTCAAAATTGAGTATTTGTTGATGTCAATCGTGTTTCTGGACAGAACCACGCATCGAATCTTTAGTGAGACGACACAACGACTTGTGATGGCCAGCTTATGCAAACTTGGTTCTTGAATATTCCTTCATTCCCCAAACAAATCTGATAGCGGTGGAGTGGTTGAAAGCTAAAAAGAATCAGACGGAAAATGACTCAATGTTCTGTTTGCAAACCGCGAGGGTGCTAGTTCTCATTGGAGTGTCCTACCTCTGCCTTTAGAAGAATGGAACGTGAGTGAAAATAATTAACCAGTACACCAATAAAACTAAAATCAGTTCCGTTCTTGGAATGCACCTCTTCAAATTATACTTGTAGATAAACTCTTCTCTCGGGAGTTTTTTCTTCCGGATGATCTGAGGGGTGTCCATGGATTTCTTCGGATGGTTTATACCTTCTGTTCTTTTTGAGCAAATTGTGAGATGGGGCGAACTGATATACCCATTGCTGGTACAAGGCAACGTCCTAACATGAGTAAACCGTCATCAGCTCCACCATTATTGTTTTAGCCACACTGGTTTCACAGTTTGGACCTATTCAGGGGTTTTCCTTGACTTTGGAGAACAGCCAGCTCGAGAGCATAGCTTGCATAATTTGATTCCAAACGGTAAGGCTTTGTTCCAACGCACTACGAGAACGAATCAGAATTTTTGAATGACTTTATCGACTTGTCATTGCACAGCTTTCTTATAGGACCATAAATACCTCGATATTGGTTATGCGGTAAGCGAGAACAGGGGGCGGCCTCTAAAGTTTGTCCGTCATTGTAGACAAGGTGCAGATTCCTTTGAATCTTTTCAGATCAAGTTGTGGTCACGAAATCTTCGGTATTCTGGATTGACCACTTCTGAACAGGTCCTGAGGTCTCAGCGATTCCGCTAAATATTGAATGAAATGTTAGACATTGCAAACAGAGGGCAAATTTATCTAACAGAGAGCAGATTCTGTCTTCGGGAATCCTATTCTGTTTCTGCCGTTCCTAAACTTTGGTCTGGTCAGCTACAACGGCGAAGGGTTCTTCAGAAGAACCCATAATATTGAAGCAGCGTCTCACAGATGTCAGGACTCATTCTGAGTGGCTCGGTTAACGTTCATTTGCCATACTCTCGAGCATCGTCCACTCAAGTATTCTCAGTTCCTTCGTCGAGGTTATCGGAGATTTTCGAGAGGCATTCTTCAGTGTCAACCGCACCATCAGAAGCTTCGGCATCGCTGTTGAGCAGCAAGCAGTCAGAGCTTCATTTTTTTTTGAAATCGACATCCGGTACTCTCATTGTGACAAGATTGCTCACAAGAATAATAATACTCTCAAAGATGCTAATAATATATAACGGATTCAAATTAACATCCGCAGGAATTGGTCTTGAGTGGCCACGATTGTTGGAAAAAAAAGTGAAATATTACTGAAGAGTTTACAAGCTGTTCTCTCGACTCTTGCATGGTTAGGTGTTTCTGGTCGTAACATCCTCTCATATACTCAACAGATTCCCGGCCGCGAGTTGTATGTTGCTTTTTTACAGTGGTGGTGCATTGTTAGCATCTTCTCCAGTCCCATATAAAAGGACAGCTCCAAATATTGCATCACTTCTTGATCACCGGTTTCCTTAAACTTTTTCGACTTGATGACTCCGCATCGAGTGGCTTCCTGCTCAATAATAGCAAGCAACTCGTGCTGAGAAAATTGCGAAAGGAATCAAAAGGCTCGGTGCAGGTGGTGTATCAGTCGATTCTTCTCCATCGTCATTGACAACGAGGACACAATCGTAGTTCACTGCAGACTCTTCCAACTCCTCGTCACGATCGAGCAATAAAGCGTCGAATTTCTGATCAGGTCCATCGTCGTCCATAGCGAGCACGTTTTCTGGTACGGTGGCAACATACATGGGGACGCATTTGCGAAACTTGTGCTCGTCGCAAATGTTAAAGATTTAAGAAATTTCCAACAGGAAATTGTCATACAGCTTGAGGGTCAGGAAAAAAACGGGCCCAAAGATCGGCAGCAGGACCCAGCTTATTTGGAAGTTGTAGCATTGTAGAGGTCTTACCATTAACAATTATGTTGAGCACTGAGCACTTATGTCGAAGATTCGAATTGCTGATTGTCCAAGACGTGCAGGGGTTCTATTCATACTAACGATTCCGATGGCGATGTAACGTTGGTGTCGTTACAATGACACAGAATGAATAGGAGATGGAATCCCCCTCAACCTGCTTGTCCCGTTTCTATGCAAATTATTAAAATGCAACAGCTGGATGGCGTTGGTCGGAACGGAAAGCTCCACCTGTCATTTATTGCGCTAATTCTAAACAATCCTGCAGTACGATGTAGAGCTCATCAGTCTCTGTGATAATCTTGGCGTCAGGGACGACGACACCGACTTCGAGTAAAGAAAGACTTGACTAGAAAATTCTCTCCTATTCTGTCTTGATGGAATTCCTTGGTATCGATCAACTAGTTGAATTCACGCACGTTCCACTTGTTTGGAATCATTGTGGCATTTTAATAGAATGTTTTCTTTACAGTTCGCTGCCAGCGACAGGCGATCCAAAATTCAGCATTTCAAGTGCTCCCAAAAATCTACCTACCGTATAGGATGAGAGGATTGTTGAGCCTAGGATGAACCAAGATTCGTTTCTCGGACGGTGCTCCTGGTGGTGCCCTAGTGATTCTACCCTAGCACCGGCTCGGTTAAGCTTCAAATAGTCAACAAACCTGCCAATTTCCAACATCTCTGTCGAGTTGAGCAATCCGCTGCAAATTGCCCACATCAACGGCGTCTAATGAACGAGCGTACCAGTTCCAGAATACGTGGCCTTGCCAACGGAAGCCAACCTATAATGAGAACAGTCCGTGCCAAAAAAACTGATTACAATTTCGATGATCACACCAAACAAGCGTTTAGTGCAGAATTTATTCTCCAGTTGTTGCTCATAGCCAAAACCGTTCGTCAAATAAGTATTCTGAGGACTCCGATCATAATTTTATATCTGTCGCAGAGCGATGCTCTCATGAAAATTGTACACAGTAATGGCTGAAGGAATCAGTTCCGAACATGTCGAAGCCAAACATAAATGATTACACTCATGCTGCAATATAACTCACTTCCATTGTAGGGCTATCCGTAATAGACAAATAATTCAGTTCCTGCGCGTTTGTCGACGTCCAGTTGAAGGGAAATCCGGAATTTTCAGGTGTTGGATGACTAGAAAAAAAATTATCAAAACAAGAAAAGCTTTCGAATAGTTGATCTATCGCTTGTACCAGAACCCATTATAAAAGCTACTCTTTGTCGAACAGTGATTAAGTCGTTTTTCAACAATTTAAAGGATAATTTCGAGGTCCTTTTCAAGTCGGAAAGCGGAAGTATTGATTGGAAAAGTGCGTAGTTCCTCGCGAGTTCGAATCCAGTCCACCCCTTCTGTACCCTATCAGAATTTGTGCCAAGGTATTGAAATACGTGCGAGTATGGGGAATTCGCCCATGACAGGGTAAAATAAGAGAGAGATGAGTAAGCCGGATATGTTATGCCAGTACAAGTGGGTACTGCCTTTACGTAGTGATTCCATTTGAAGTTTCGAAACATTTGTAAAGAATTTAAATTCTTGCGTTTCTTCCACCAGACATTTTCCGAACAGCCTGATATTATTACAGTACTGGGATCACTTTGGGCTTCTTGTAGCCCCTTTAAAAGGTAAGCAATACTCGAACTGATGTGGATGGAGCTGGGTACACGCCTAGTTACGACACGTTAAAGCGGGAGAAGGGATTATTCATTGTGAGCTTTGATCAGGCGAACCGACTATGATATCATACAATTTCTGAATACGTCATAGTGAATTTCGCCATTTCACAGTATTTATGAAAACATTCGGAACAGTTCAGAAGAAACTAGACTTTTTTGGGTTTTTCGAAAATTCTTTCCAATTGCCTCAATATCAAAAATTGAGCGAAATGCGCATACTGTCTATCATTCAAAGGTGAGACACCGCGTTTACTGAGAATCCAGTCGAAAATAAACATTTCAGGGAGTCCTAACTCTTCAAGGCTTTGGCAAAAAAAAAAGACTTCCTTTCCCATGAAAAAATGGACAACTTCTTGGCATATAAGCTTGTTCTTGATGCCTACTGCTCGCATCATCTCTCTCGCATCACTTTTTCAGAAGACAATCACGAAATCTCCATCGTACCGTTCCAAAGGCCTCAAAAGACACTGGCAAGGCGTACGCAGAGGATGTACTGTGACCAGCAAGACGCGAGAGGATACCATATGGCTATGGTCAGCGGACAACCATATCCATCATTACATCAACGCCGTCGTCTAACTGCATATTCCCACCCCGCTTCCGTTGCAGTCTCAGCTTGCAGGCCTCACCTCAACTGCTTCCATCTATGCGATACTGTCAAGTCAACTTCGTTGACCCGGGAAACACCTGTAGGCGAAATACGGAGTTCGACCCGTAGCTGAAGTGGGTGAAACTGGGTGCCGAAATGCCTCAAGAATTTGGAGGCTTGAGATGGCCACCGATAAGTAAGAGCAAGGACCGTACATGTCGGTGGGTTTAGAATGGATTTCATACTCGTGTATAATTATTTGTTACAAAGTTTTTCTTAGTATGCCCTTGGTTAGTCATAATTTCTTTTTCATATTGATTAACTATTTTTCTCACTTGATCACAGTAGCCTTATGAACTTATATAGTTATTCCGTGTGTTCGGTGTCATTAATGTCGTCCTGTGCGTAAGGACCCAAGGGTAGACGCAGCCCCAGACCAGACCGCAGGTTCCTTGCGTTGAGAGAACTGTGCAANTTGGTGTTTTAATGAACACGATTACTTTCTGACTCTCTAATATGTGGAAGGCATTTCCCCACTATGAGTGAATTGCACCGTTTTGTAGAGGAATGGTTCGTATCTTGCTTGATAATAGCGTTAGGACCACTTGAGTCCTCTCTACAGACTGTATGTTGTGTTAGCCCCGTCATGAATTGTTCAGGTAAGGGACCAACACCTCGTAGCAGCAAAAATCTGTTCAATTGCCCAGATTCCCTTCATAAAATCATCCCTTATTGGTTCGGTACGTGGCTGTTTGGTAATACTGTGCACCCTTAAAATGACTCGAACACACACTGATCCTTTCAGGGTGTACTGAATCATTTTTTCTTCTTTCAGCACCCTGACTGGACAGTAGTCTATATGAACACTATTGTTCCAGTCGACCACTCCTACTTACAAGCAAAGCACATGAGTCCTTGAAAGTAATACATGGTAAACCAGCCATATGAAGTAAATTTACAAATGTACTAACCCGTGTCGTGCAAAGTTTACGATTAAGTCGGCAAAAATTTCGACAACTCTTTGATCGAGCTGCCAGTTCCTATCTCGACGCCTAATAAGAAAACGAGGAGTGATATTGAATAAGTGTAGCTTGTCAGCACCGTGAAATGCTCCTGAAATACCTCCTATTGACGTGCAATGAGCGTCGACATTGTTTGGAATAAATGTTCAATAGAACTCACGGTCAAGATCATAGAAGTTTTCGCTAACGTGATCAAAGGAGTAGAGGAAGACTGGTGCATTTTGTTTGACGTAATAGGTAGCTAATCGAGAAGCAGGTGCATCATACCAGAAATGGGAGTACATCTGGAAGTCGTATACTGCTATGAAATGATACAGATAACAGGTAACAGGGCAGGTAACAACTTCCGCTACACGAACGGTTATAGAAGAGCCCCGATTCCTGTCACAAGTACACAATTACATTTTAAATAAGGCGAATAGGTGAAACATATAGGACAGCGACATTTGCCTAATAATGTAAGCACGATGCGCATTGCTAATAAACTCCGACATTTTGTTTGTACATCTTGTTCCTATACTGTATGACACCGAAACATAATTTGCAAGAAATCAGCAGACCCTAAACTATCCCCAGTAAAGAAAAAAGCAAGAAAAAACAATATTATAAAGAGGAAAAGTTTTTTTGAAATTGGTTTTTGGATGAGAACAAAATTTTTTGGGAGCCATAAGAAGCGCAGTGGACAAGTGCATGTTGATCCCACAAAAATCCCGATAGTCGTTTTTCTGAATGTTCATGTATTCTTCTCGTAAAAGCTTCGGCTTCAGATGCCGATTTCTGTTGGCTTCTCACGCCAGTACAGAAAAGGAGAGGAAGGATGAGGAGGAACGGACATAGAGCTTAACCATGGTGTACTCCATCCCTGAGGCATTCTGCTCTTGTTTGAGTTGCTATGAGAGATGCATCTTCTGCTCTGTACCTCTGGCACATGTCCTTTACAAGGGGTTCAGGTGTGATGGAAAGTTGTATTGAACAGTCAATAGCTTCGTCTAGAGCCCTAAAGGATACGAAGCATGGTTCAGCTTTTATCGGGACTTCTTTACCAAGATAGCATTATGTTATTAATATGGCATTCGTTGCAGAATTCTCAAACGGGAATCCAAAGTATTCTGTTCTCAATGAGCCCAACATTCCCGGGTTTGCAGGAGCGTTAGACCCATATTCAAAGCTCAGAGAAAGAGAAAAAGAAAACAAGTGATTGCAAGGTAGAAAGGAACAAAAAACAAAAGTTTTCTGTGAATTTCCTATGCCGGAAAAAGGCGACATATGAGCTCTCTTTCCAGAATAGAATCGGTACTATGTATTGTGGGAGCTTAGGTTTTGTCTCATAGCGGTATCTACGACCTCTCGAAATGCTATGAGGCGTTTCAGAAATACGTTCTCTTTGGACGGCTTTTTTCGCCACTGAACCGTTTACCCGTGCGTAATTGCAGTTCTACTCTATCAGAATTCAATTTAATACCAAAAAATGTAACTCACCTTTAGTACTGAATCAAACAAAATATTGCCGGACATGGATGGATCCACTTTCGTCCATACATACTGAGCTTTACAGCCTTCCGCAATAAGACGATGATTTTGAAATTGTTTGTAGCCTAAGGTGAGATTGTCCGCCAGCTTTTCGGCCATTGGACTGTTCAACGCGCTAAAGTTGACGTTCTTCTCGTTCAGTATCACTGAAATGTAACAGCCTTCACATTGCTGTTTTCAGTCGGTCAGAGGCAGAGTATAATTCGAAGAAACACGAACATATTCGTAGAGAACTTTCATCACGCGTTGTTCCAATCATCATCGGCATTTTTCTTCTGTGCTGAGCCAAATCTTCAGGCACGTCTGGTATTACCCCACCAGGTCCGTCGACAACAGGAACGAACTCCTGATAATCGTCCCAATGCAATCTCTGCAATAAGTGTTAATTTCTGCAAATTTCTAACTTCAAGATATTCTTTCGAAACGATTCCGTTCAAAACAAATGTCTATTTCATTCTAACACTATGTAAAAATGTAAGTACCTTATAATCGAGAATCTCTTCTCTCATTCTTTTTCTGAAGCAATCCAAGAGCTCGGAAGAATTGAAGGATCTGCATCAGCACCGGATTAGTATAAGGGTTTTCGGATAGCCATTAGTCATCCACTCATGAATAGACATTTTGAAACCGTACTGGGTAGTGACAACAGTATGACAGCATAAAAAATTTCATTGAAAAATTGTGTCTCTCAAAAGGCATGACCTACGATTTCATTAAGTAGGTGCTTCGGAAGGTATCGGTAGCAACCAACAGGTTGAGGAACAGTAACTTTACCTTGAACAATTTTGCTGCATTCAGGCAAAAACCCCTTATTGACATCTTCAGCGAGTCATTTGGATGCAGGCTACCATACGCGAGAGTGCTCGCAATTTTTTATTTCTTTCATTTTATTTCGCAAGGGATGAGATAATTTGGGATATTAAAAGTGCCGTTAGACCTATGCGTCAGCTTGATAAAAGAGAGTGGATAAGGACAGACTAACAATGTAGCTCCTGAACGTTCATTTGTAGACCGCATATTGCCCAAAAATTAACGATAATCTTTTTGAGATCTGTAGGCGTCGCTGCGGACTTTTTCGACTATCGCTACTCCCTTGCACCTGAGCACCTATCCCACTGCCCATATACTTACTACATGAATAACCAATACACCGTACCGTCAGTTTTCGAAAATAGTCCGTTTTGAATGTTTCCAACTGCTCTGAAAAAAGCGCAAAAGAGCACCGTGTCATGAACTCCTCGATTAAGAATATTCTTCTCTTCATGAGCCAATTTCTGGATGAATCCACGAATATTTCAGAGCCTGGGGGTTCTAGAACCTTTCAAGATATCTGTTCGCAGAATGGAAACCCATACAAGTATCATACGTTTTTCTGCGAGGCCATAGGCAGATCAACAAATGAGAGCTTTTTGGCAAGAGTACTCGATATTAGGTACGTTACATTATGTAATACAACCCGGATGGCCCAGCTCGCGGCCTACCAACTTTAGATAATATTTTCCCCCCACCTTCCTTTCTTCGAAGGTAAAGTCCAGATCGGTCGTCTATATCAAAGATCGCAACAAACTGAAGTTGATGAACTGCTTACCTGCACTGCATTTTCTCATTGAGAGCCCATGTTGCATTTATAGCTGTATCGCGAACAACTCCAGGCTGCAGTGCTGTTCCAGACATCAGCAAGACTTTGTGAAAGAGTCCTCAACATTCAGAGCTCGATGTTTCAAAAAAAGTTTCGGAATTAAATTACTCTATGATGTAGCACTATGGAGCATTAGGTTTCCTTTTTTTTTGGACTGTTCATGAATCGAACGAAAATGCGTCGTGGCGATCTTCATCATATACATAAATTACATTACATACGCAAAACAACAAAAAGGAACGAAAACGGAAAAACTAACCAAAATATGTAATTTCCTTTCAAAAGGTACTTTCTTTAGTTGGGTCATAATAATGAAAGTCCCAGAATACCTTCAGCTCTCGGTGATAGCGCCAAAATTGAGGCGCACGCTGCTCCGCTTCCCGAACCCATTAGAAGTATGTTTGAAGGGTCCCCTCCGAACACTTCAGCATTGAGCTTAATAAAGACAGTGATTTCAGCATTTCAACTTGAAAGGGAGCAGTGAATAAGTTACCTTGACCCATTTTAGCGCCCATATCTGGTCCCAAAGTCCGACGTTTCCTGGTAGAATTTTGTCACCAGTAGACAGAAATCCTAAAATTTCAATTATGTTAAGCTGTAAGTCAGGATAAGTGAAGATGTAGTGAACCATGCTTTCACTCTATATATACCTACATTCAACATTCACTTTTGCGCTTGGCTCCTTTTTGTCGAAGAAAGACTCATCTCTTGTGAAAATGCGACAAAATGGGTGCTTTCATCCCTTGGCGACAACTGCATTCGGTCACAGCTACACCGCATAGCCCATCAATGAATTAAAGGGTCCACTTTGGGTAATAAGCTGAATCCCTTAGAAAAACGCTCATCTCAAAAAAGAGTACTTCACAGAATCCGTATTCGATAGAATGAAAAGGTTGAATCTTGTGCCTTTCAGACGCTAAGAAAGACATATACCAAAAAAATTATGCGAAAAAAGGTGGCTAGGTTTACTTTTGCTGGACACCATTTCAAACGCAAGGTTAACTTTGTTCGCTTGTTCACTGCTTACCGAGTGGTCCGAGTCTGTAGTTGAAAGTAACGAAAATAATTTTCCGCGAGACAAAATTGTCAAGAATCGCTTGCTGTGAGTAGTCGCTACCTCCTCCAGACTGGAAGTCGCCTCCATGTATGAACACCACGACTGGATAAGTGTCGTTGGTGTACTGGTACTGTAAAACAAAAGATACCCACTCGACCAGAAAATTCGATAAGGGAATTATACAAGGAATTTTTGAGCCTTCTTGATTTGAAGCTATTCAGCGTCTACTTAAGTTCTATTACATGGCAAAGCTCATAAATTGCTAAAGAATACGGCAAATGCTCTGAGGTTTCTTACGATTGTCCTACCGAGACAAAGCGAATTTCGTTCCTACGACTTTGATCGCAACATGAGTTCCAAAGCTAAGTGAAAGCTCATTAACGGGGAGTATGGTCAAAGGGGTCGAAGCGTACCATTTTCAATGAGAAACTTCTTAGGAAAACTGGATCATCGGACTGGCTACCCCTCCAATTTTCGTTTTTCGCCCCATAACAGTCATATATCATGCAATTTTTCGATAGCCGTTACAGGCTATAAGATATAGCCTGTAACGGCTATCGGAAAATTGCATGATATATGACTGTATCAGATATTAATGTTGTAAGACTGTGCAAAACCTGCTCCTGATGTTAAACAAGTTTTTATCAACTTACGTTTCGGCGTGATCGCCTTCGTCAGACTCTGAAGAAGACTCTGAAGAAGGCGATTACGCCGAAACGTAAGTTGATAAAAACTTATTTAACATCTTGGCAGCAGGTTTTAAACAGTCTTATAACATTAATGCAAAGCTATGCCAAGATTCATCGAGAGTCGAACATGGATGCTTATGTATCAGACAGTGCCCGAGCTACTGACAACCGTGACTGCGTCCTAAACCTTTTTCCCTAAGTCGAACTCGGTACCTTGGTCAGGGTTTTAGTCTATGCACTTGTATGCATCGGTATGTGCTTTCCCAATTAAGAAACATGGTTCAAAGGCAGGTTAACCATGGGATTAGCCATTGGTACACCCATCTTTTCGAGAATGAGTCATCAGAAGGCAATAATGTTTTGAAAGGCAACTTACGGGTGTTGGCGAGAAAACGTTCAAATATAAGCAATCTTCGGAAAAGTGAGCAGCATGTCTCTCTGGATCAGTAGCCAAAGAGTCCATTCGTTGAACACATAATGCACTGAATTGAGTTGCATTCATCACGCCTCTCCATTTTGCTGGTTCTTTCGGTACCTGAAAAACCAGGAACATCTACCCTTCCAGTGACCTCAGTATTCTTTTGTGTTTATCGTAATAGTGTCATAGTTAACTTTTTCATGCGAAGATATGTGTTAGCAGCTGAAGCGCACTAGCTTAACGATTCTGTTTGCTGATTGAACAGANCCGCTACCGCTGCCTTTGCTCCAAGCGACAGCGTACTTTCCATGTTAGGTCGTGCTCTTTCCTACTGATGATGTAAACAAGGAGGAAATAGATAAGAGCGATGGAAAGTTAGGAGCAAATAGGGAAAAGCTTGAAGACAAAGTAGGAGAAAAGAAGGGAAAGTAATGAAAAGTAGTTCGAGAGTCTGCGAATAAGTGAAGAGGGAGCTAGCAAAATAACGTGCAAGATATCGTGCAAACCAGGACTGTACTAAATGATACCTACAAGCAANAGCGCACTAGCTTAACGATTCTGTTTGCTGATTGAACAGATGATTTCATATTCAATTAGGCTAACAGTGATATAAACATTTTATTTTTAACGTTTTTTCAAAAAAAAGGCTTCCGGTTTTCACTCATTATCTTCGTTTATTCATATTTTATCCGGCTAATGATCAGTAGTATGCCGAACTTCAAGTGTGCGCCCCTAATTAAAGTTGCGCCGCACTTGTTTAGGCGTCAAGCGTCAACCTCGTGCCTCAAGAGATGATGCTCGGCGCTCGCAAAGAGAAAGACCTATCATGGAACCTAGAAAAACCGCTACCGCTGCCTTTGCTCCAAGCGACAGCGTACTTTCCATGTTAGGTCGTGCTCTTTCCTACTGATGATGTAAACAAGGAGGAAATAGAAAAGAGCGATGGAAAAGAAGGGAAAGTAATGAAAAGTAGTACGAGAGTCTGCGAATAAGTGAAGATCGAGCTAGCAAAATAACTTGCAAACCAGGACTGTACTAAATGATACCTACAAGCAAACAACCCAGAAAAGAATCACGTAAATTTTACAGAAAGGCATAAATAGATAATATAACGCGAAAAATTATCCAAGACAATATCCATCGACTGAACGGCGAAAACATTCGATAAAAAAATGCTTTGGGTATGAATGGCCAAAAACTGATAAGAAACGAGAGCACAATGGGATCACGGTCGTGGGGTCAGTATAGGTACTATGGAGTCCATGTTATGAACTGATTCTATCGGACCAATATATTTCAATTCTTCTTCACTATGGGATTTCGAATTGGCTAAAAATGTGTCTATGATGCAGAACTCCGAGCGAAGGGTAGGAGTCAAGTCAGTACAGTCCGCTGCCCGAAGCTCATGAGAGTGGAGTTGGATATTCACGAGACATGGTGTGGTACTCGTAAACCTCAACCTGTACCTTCCATCATAAATCAGCGCGAAAGCTTGGCAACCCGTTCCTGGCATTCAAAGTCTAGAAAATATAATCTACCACTCAAAGATTTTTTACGGCTACGCAACAACATCAAATCCTGACAAGGAGGAGATGGAAACGATTAACATAGAACTGTAGAACACCCTAGAGTGAACATTCTTTTCCAGAGGATATCACCGGCAACATAATAGCTCTAGGAAAGATCTGAAGATTTTCCATCGAGGGTCATGGAACGCACCAATCAACATAATTATAGTGAGATGAAGTTCCAGGACATCCCTCATCGCTATGTACCTGAGAATCAACCAGAGGATGGTTACAAAGGAAGATGGAAAGCCTACATTCAATAGAAAGAGCTGATGGAGCTGTTAGTTCGAAGCTCTCCACAAGATCAAATCATTGTCTCCTTCGTCTCTACATCTTATTGCGGCTAGAGAGCAAATTCAATAAACGAAGCCTCCAGGCCGGCGTCTATTAGGAAGTCATGCCCGTTCCCTTTCCAGTTTATCCAAAGAGCCACTCATTTATCGGACAAATTTCAGAGGAATACGATCATTTCATTGGACAACTTCACGGTAGTGCTGAAAAGACGGAGAATTATTAAACTCAACGTCACGCTTCCCTTTAAACACCTTCATGGTGATGGCAGCGTGGATATGCGTAGTTGCAGGCAATTGCAATTGCCCCTGAACTTGCAAAGCTACACAACGAAAAGGGAGATCTGGAACAAAGAAGAACTGTAGTAATATTTGAAGCCACTTAAGGAAACAGGTTTTTTTGCCCTTAAGAGAATGAAAGAAGCTGTATTTTTTGCTGGAATTCCACCACTTACAATTAGAAGTTCAGAAGAATTCAACTCGTCTTTCACATCTTTACGGAATATTCCCTGCATAGAGAAAGGCAACGGAGATTGTCTTCAGCAGTTACGAATGCACTACGGAAAGGCAAGCACTTATCCCTGGAGGCGAAAACACTTGCAAAGCTCGATCGAAAGTTAAAAAGAACAACTGAAGTCGAGATAAGCCACTTGAAGGATCGAGAAATCTTTCGCAAGTCTCCAACTAACAAAAGGAAACAATGGTAATAACGACGATAACGTCTTTTGCAGGGTCAACTACTTAGTAATCCCATTGATACTTAAGCACTTCCTTTGCTCGAACTGATACAAGGAGGCAGCAAAATCCTGAGACAGAGCTTACAATAGGCACACATTACATTATTGAAGAGCCCATACTTTCCGAAAGGAAAGTTGAGTCAGATTTAGAGCAAGTGCGTTAACATTTGTATGAATTCGAGAGCACAAGAACTCTGAATTCTTTGGGCCTACATAAGAGTAGCGAATCTGACATTTGCAGCGATTTTGCGGAATGTTCGGAGGAAGAATCAAAAAAGAAAAGATGGGTATTCCGCACGCCCTTCATAGCACCCACAGCACATCATACAGCAAGCTTTTAATTCACTGGAGCTTAGAAACAAGTCTGGGTTCATTTGACATAAAGTGAAATCGACTAAAGCGGGACCGTAAACCCAATATAAATATGTCAGCTAAAGCAAGGCATCGCTAACGAAGTGAAGAGATATATGAATTGAAAGTCATATACCATCTAATACACCAATTGGTTGCTCCTATCCTAATGGTGAAGAAAAGAAAGATTCATAACCGATTTCAAAGCTCCAATTGTTGTTCATCACAACACGCTGTTTTCTACAATTTTTTTTTTGTTTCGGAGTGAGAGGTACGCTAGGTATCGGGGTATGTAAAGAAGGAAATCCTTTCACATTCGGCTGAGACAACTGCGACAAGACTTATGTGGACTCAGATCCATATTCACAAACCGGTCACTTCAGATTACATAATATATCAATTCACTTTAGAGAAGTTGTGACTCAACTGTTTTTCATATTCGCTTGTGGGTAATACCGGCCGTCACTCAAACGCAATGGTAGGGCCAAGGTGAAAGACAATATCTATTTTGACAACCTCTTTGCAGCAATATCCTGAATAGGTGGAAGCTACATACAAGCAGTTCCAATCCATCAACAGTGTGCTCTCGAGAATGGGGTCGCAATGAAGATCAGGCTCAATGATAGGACACGACATGGAGGTGATGCGCAGAACCTTGACTGAAATCTGTGGTCAGAGCTACGGAGATGGTATGTTGCACCTGGGAGAGAATAGTGCGTTCGTATGAAAAGCATGTGGCTAGCAAACGAAAAAATAAATTACGACTCCGCTTATCAAGACGATATCAAGCTAGAAAATCACTCAGACTTCTTGAAGAAATTACAAGCAGTCATACATGGATAACAAGAATGAGCGCATCAATGTAGCTCGTGATTGTCTTGTATTCTACCAGGCGGATTGCCATACTACTGCCCGTCCTTTTTTCCTCCGTGCTACGAAGTTTTAAAGCACAAAAGAAGATTCTGAAAGTGATCGGAAAGATTTTGTGGCAACTAAGATCGGAAGAATGAGAATATGCAGTCCTCTATTGCGTCACTGTCAGCTAGTATGAAGGAAGTGCTTTGCCTCGGGTCCCTCAAGCGAGAACGATCTACTGAACTGGTCTGGCTCGCGACAGAAACGAAAGGAAACGCTACTGGTGACCGTTTGAGGAAATCGATGATCAATGGGACGACGGGTGATACAAGTGATGGAGTCGCAAACTTTGAGTCGTAATCGCCCTAACCTAATAGCTAGTTAGAAAGCTTATTTTGTATTGCATGATTATACTAGTCGGTCCTCACCTTTGCGCTTACTATTCATCTTTTCAATATATCGAATAATCAAAGCATACGAAAGGAGCTAGATGCTGACACCTTTTATGGTCTTCAAATGAGCCTTTGTCAGCTGTCATCACTTTCGGTTATCTGTTACGTGCGATTCAGTCAAACCCTGTATCATACAAAGAAGAGCAATGCTCTGCTGTCATGCCAGAAGAAAAAGAACCGATCTAGTTACATTTATCAGTTCTCATCAGATATTATTGGTACTTGTTACCAACAATCTATGAATGTGACGAGTCTAACAACACAGTTCAACATCCAGAGGCAGATTCAAGGACTTTGCTTCATAGATTGCCTATCAGCCCTTATCATTGTAACGGTCATTGCCACCATCTCTATCCCATCACACCCTGCGTTGAGTGCCAAGTTTCCACCATTAGCCAGAAGAGCTGGTACAGCAACTCAGGTCCTCTATATCTCCCTATCAGCCACTATCAACTGCTATCATACTTTGTCACTGAACCCTTACGGCTCCGTAATATCCCAAATCATCCACCAGGATGTCTGACAGTGGAGGTGTAACCGACTCGCTGCCGTCGATGAACTTATCAGCCCCTACAACTTGTTACCCATTATTCTCTCAAACATTCTTCGAGAATTCACCACTTTTTATCCCAACCATGTACAAAATAGTCATGGCAATAGCAAAAGCAGAAGGAAAACTAGTAGTAGTAGAAGTGTAAGAACTTACTAGAGTATATAATAGGAGAAGGAGTAGAGGCCAGAGAAGTAGAACAGTAATGATAATAACAATATGAATAATATCCTATTCTTCCCTTGCTTTAACCTCGGCATAACTGTTTGCGATAATATTCTTGTGCCGTATGAGGTTTGTGACGAAACATTTTATAAGAATGATGGTCTGTA